TTTTTTTTTTACATATTCTTTTTTTTTTTTTTTTTAAGTAGATAAACACCAATTCTTTATTTATTTGTATATTACAAGATATATATTACAAAAGAATCAACATCTCTTAGGTGCGAAGCATACAGCAAGTTTAATGCTAGCCTACCTACTAAAACTATAAATAGTTAATATTGAAAAAAACATTTTAAAACAATATTGTTGCTAAATATAGGCCAAGTAGTAGCTATACTTATCTACTTAGAAAAAAAAAATAATAATTAAATAAACTAAACCTATAGATTTATAGCACAGTGGATAGTACTTTCAAGTTACCAAATGCATGTCCCTAGTTCAATATTCACAGGAAACAAATTGCATAAACTTTACTCTTTATAATAGGTTTATTGGTTTTCATATATATGTTGTACCCAAATATTCAGATCATTTTCAAATTCAGTTAGGTTGCATAAAGATGGAACCTCTGATCTTTCTGATAATCGTGGGCTGAAAACATGTCAAAGCAAGAAAGGTTATATAAAGAAGGATTTCTGGTTTAACTCTTATTATAAACTCACATTCCTCTTGGCTTGACAGACTCTATAGCAAAAAAATATACTAATCTGATTTAAGTAACTTTGAAGAAAATCATTACATGGATACTAATGTATAGATGATACTAGTGATAACTTTACAGGAGTTGTGTCTTGCTTGGTATTCGTACCTCTAGATTTGGCAACTTATGCCAATTAAAAGTTTATAAAATTTTGGAGCATTTACTAAAAAGTGTAAAAAAGTAAGTCCATAGAGGTATTATGACTATGTGAGCTGAAGGTATAAATGTGATAAGAAACCTGATAAAAATTAATATGTTAATTAAGATCAGACCCCCATATAAGTATAAATCAGGGTATGGACATACTTACAAAGTGTTAAGTAGGTATTCTGATAAATAAAAATCATAATAAGCTACAATTTTTTATCATTTATTTAAAATATTACTAATGTAATGACTATAAATATTTTGTTTAATAAAGATCTCATATTTAATACACATTTGTGAAAAAAAAAATAATAATTAAATAAACTAATTAAATTTTTATTTAAATTATATACATGTTGTGAATTTATTATTTATTATTTTTCAATTATATTATTATATACAGTAGAACCTGTCTATAGTTATACTGTTGAACCAATAGTAATTTTTTTAAAAAATATTCTTATATACAAGTTATTCTTATGTATAGATTTGATTTAATATAATTTTAATATATTTTAAATTAACTTGGACCAGAATAAAAATATGATTATAAAAGGTTTTTTGTTATATATTCTTATGTATGGATTGATTAGAAACAGGTTCTATTGTATTTTTTTGCAAATTACTATAATTACAATATAGTTTCAGTATATATAGTAGTTTGATATTAGACTGTCTAATGAAATATTTATACTTTAAAAATTAATGTTAATTATTATTTTAAATTTTTATATAATAAATAATTTGATTTTATACGTTATTTATAAGTAAAATTATTCTTACTTAAAAAAATATAATAGTTATTTTTAAGAATTTATACTTGACTTCTGAATATATGCAAATTTAATTAGCCAATTTTTTGAATATAAATATTATTGGAATATTATAAGCATATTTGTAATGCAAAAATATTATAAAGTTTTATATTTTATTTGTTTGAATGATTTTTGTCTATACACATATTACGTATTAATTAAGAGACGTTTTTGTTTTGTTATAAAATAAACCTTTTTATTGTATGCGATATTTTAGCATTTAAGCATTTAATAAGTGTTTATCATAATATTTGATACTTATTAAAGCTATAGATAAATAAAGCTATGCATGCTTCAGACATTTTAACGGTTTCTGCTACTTAATTATATTTAACCTTTGTATTTAAAGAGATTTCTAAAACTTTTTAACAATATATTGATAATATTGATAATGTTTAAAGTGTTTCAATGACTATAAATAAATACATTTGTAAGAAAAATTGATTTAACCAATTAAGATATGCAATTAGATTTAGATTCAATATTTTATTAGATCTGCTTCGGCTATGGAAAAAACACAGAAAAAATCAAATGATGCGTGGATGGCTTCTAAAAAATATATTAGAGAGTGTCTTTCAACTGAATATAAAGATAAAGAACTCGATTAATATGATGTTATTCTAAGAATAATTTATGGAGTGTCTCACTTCGTAGAGTTGAAAGTTGTGGAATATGGTGTTCACACTGTGCAGATAATATAAATATACTCAAAAATTTCATTCTCTAAACATGGAGAGCGTCTTTCAACTAAGTTAAAGATAATCCATTGCCATTAATGTTAAGTTACGAAGAAAACCATTTATGGCGTGCATCTCTTGGCAATATGAAAAGTGGTAAGTGATGTTCATATTGTGCAGGCAATGCTCATCTTATTCTTGAAGATACTAAGCAAATTGTACTTAGCCGAGATAAATTTCTTTCAATCACATATAGTAATTTGATAACGTGGAAATTTATCAAGGTCATATTGGAATAGTTCGTTTCAAGACATTAAACATTCTAAATCATGATGCTCATATTGTGTGGATATTGCAAAACTAATCTTTGAGGATGCAAAAAAAATAACATTATCAAGTTGTATAGGAATTTCACCGAGTAAAAAATACGGGTAAATAATCATCAATGGCAAAGTACACTTAAGCATATTAGAATAGAGGACGGTAGTTTATATTTTGCATTTGCCGATATCGGTCAATAGAGGATATGTGTAAACTTGATAAATAAAAAATGGAGATTGCCTATCAGATAATTTACAAATGTATTTGTGAAAATAATTATAGATGGGAACAATAGCATTTGACAAGGAAATTAATGTCTATATTGCGCATATAATATGAAATTAACTCTTGAGAATGCAAAGCAAATTGTATTCATTATCTAGACATGAGCAATGTCTTTCAGCCAAGTATAAAAATAATCACTTGGCAGTATTGTGGTGTTGCAAAAAAGGTCATTTATGGCATACATCTATATAAGCGCGAACAATTATGACAAGAAGTTATCTTAACCTGCCATCTGAAATCGCAGACCAGATTTCTTGAAAATTCCTGAACACCCAAAGGATTAGAACTCGATATATATTATTCAGAATATAAACGAAAAATATATTGAATTCTTTCATAGGACGATTATAATAATTTTATCAAACAGCAAACATGGTATGCGAAAAAAATTGTATTGCTTAAGGTACGTATGTAGATTCCAAAGCATCTTCGAGAATTAGGTCTTTTTGAATAAATATAAACTTTCAATAATTGCATTTTTTTTATTTTTCGATATACTGTATATACACCTCCCAACATTGCAGTATAAACTGATTAGAAAATTACATATGCATACTGCGCCATTATTCATGTAAGAATATGAATGAGCTAAAAACCTAGACAAATTATTAAAAATTGGCTATTAGGAGATAGAATTCTCATTCTAAACATTAGGATTGTTGTAATTGTTGTATTTAATTAAAAATATAGATTTTAAGAAATACTGTATATAGGGTTGCCTACAGGGTTAGTAATAAGGAATGTTATTTGCACACCGTAACCAATTAAGCTATATTTGATTTTTTTGCCGTGAATAAGTCTCATTGGTCAGACCAGTTGGTCCCATCATCTAAATAAGTGTACCAATTTCTTGAAGCCTATAAAATTTTAACGCCATCACCATATCGAGAAGCTTCAATGGGAATTTTTTCCAATTGTCTATTATATAAATTTTATCTTACAAAATATGAATTACAATTATTGTTGCACTTGTGTTAATTATATTTCGGAAACCATGCTCTACATTTGCCATTCTCATCCAGAGCATTTACTATATTTGAAGGCGAATATACATCTACATTTAGTAAAATAGTGTCATTCTTATTAGGGTGTTGACAGGTACAATATATAAATAATATTTTCAATGACCTTACAAATTATTTGTATTATTATCAATTGCCGAAAGTTTACGCAATTCAACAATATGATTTTCAATAGGTACGAAAAAATACCCCGATTATTCCTTCAATAGTTTCCCTTTTTCACTTGATCCATACATAAAGAATTTCTCACGAACAAGTAGTATATCTGTACCTTTCGATGAATCACGAGTGCTTATTTGAGTAAATGACAATATTCAAGAGCATTTGTGACAAGTTCCTCCCAATTGGGTCTCAATCTGGATCGATAACATAAAAAATTAAGCGACGTTCGTTAATGTTGTTGAGGGCCTAATGAAATCCGAGCCAGTGAAGTCTATAAACAGAGGATATGTTAGTAAAATGAAATCCGGCTGATTACGTACCGTAAAATTTCTTCTATTTTTATTTTCTGTAAATTTATTGGGTTCTAGTCTTTCTGAGAACTCTCCAGGGTCGTCTTCAACAATATTGTCAACAGCAGTTGCTTCGGGTTTAGTTTCTGAAGCTATGTTCTTTTATTTTTCACCCTTGAGTCCAGATGACTCCTTAACTCTGATTTTAGAGATATTGCTCTTCAGGCGTATACAAGAAATTAGAATATAATAAAGAGTATAAATAGTCATATACGAAAGTACGGTATTACTAATTTCAGGTCGGTTGGTCGACATTTCAACACCTATTAATATTTTTGTCTTTGGAGTTAAGTAAATAACAAATAATCTATGATCCTGATATAATTTTGTGCAATACAAAATTGTTATCACGTGTCCAAAATTTCTGACCGTCATAAAGTAACACCTTTAAATAAAAAATTTTATTCTACATACAGTAGTGGCAAAAAAAAATGACACTTCTTTCATTTGTAAAAAATTATATTATGATTGAATTAATATTAATATTAAATAAAAAATAAGTTTATTAATGTTTTAAAATAATAACAATTTTTTTTAATATTAATAGAATTATATATAATTTTATTTAATTTTATTATTTTTAAATTTAATTTTTTATCAAGTTCAAATATTAAAAAGTCTATATATTTAAAACTTTATTAAATATTCTAAAAAAAAAAAAATTTATAAAAAAACTTTATAATTCTATAAAATTACAAATAAAAAAATAAATAATTTTTTAAAAAATTATAAAATAGTTGTTTTTTTTTTATTTTTAAAAATATTTTAAATAATAAAAATATTTTAAGATAAAAACTTTAAACTTATTTACAATATCAAATAAAAAATTTTTAATTATATATATTGTATAATAAAAAAAAAACAATATTAATTTATTTTTTATAATGTTACAAAATTTTAATTATAAAATTAAGACTTTAAATTATATGTGATAATTATTTAACCAATATTTAAAATATTTATATATAATTAAGAATTTTATTTAATATTTTTAAATAAAATTATAATTATTATCTTATAAAAATAATGTAATAATTATATAAAATATTTTTTTATATAAAATTAAAAATTAAAAAAATTTTTATTTATTTATTTTTAATTTATAATTTTATAGAGTTATAAGATCTTTTTATATTATTTTTATTTAAATAATTAATAAATTTTTTAATTTCTTAATATTTGATATTGATAAAAAATATTAAAAAAAAAATTAATTAAAATTATATATAATTCTATTAATATTAAAAAAATATTATTGTTATTTTAAAATAGTAATAAATTGATTTTTAATTAATATTAATATTAATTTAATAATAAAATTTTTCATAATATAATTTTTTACAAATGAAAGAAAATTGTCATTTTTTTTTGCCACCACTGTACCTGTTGAAATCATATTTTATTTTAGAATTTGTATAAAAAAAAAATAAATATAATAATTAATTATTAATATAAAAATAATAATAATAAAATTAAACCAATGTTATTATAAATTAAATATAAAATAAAATATTCATTGAAAATCAAAAAAAAAAAAATCAACAAAATATAGATTATATACAATAATCAATACATTTGCATTATAATTATATTTGATATTTTTTAAAAAAACTTTAATATTTTTATTTTTTATATAAAAAATTTTTTTATGTCAAAATAAATAAATAAATAGATTGATTTTAATATATAAAGAAAGAATATTAAATAAATATTGGATAAAAATGTATTTATTAAAAGTGTGTTACACGAGATAAATTTTTGTGAAAAATTTATTTGTATTGCATTTTTGTTTTTTAAAAAAAAATGCAAATTCACGAGATAGTATCTGATAAGAACAAGAGTTCAAACGAATTGATCTTATTAATGAAACAATAGGAATTTAAAACGTAGAAATAAATAAATATATACTGTGTATACTTATGCACCGTATTTCCATTGATAAAATAAAATCTTTTTTTTTTTTTGAAATTCCAGATGAATCTAGATTTAAGATAGATGGGCCTTACAGATTCAATTAAAGAAAGATCAATAATAAAAAAATAAAATAAAATAAAACAATTGAATAATTATAAATAATGTATTAATAAAAAATCTTGAGATTAGGTTTTCTCCTTTTTTTTTAAATTGGTGATAGGTTGTAGCAATTATACTTCAGTGTGATACGCTGCTTATGAATACTATATTTGATCAATCCCAGATAGCATTCAAAGTTCCTTTTCACAAAACAAAATGTCGTTCGCGTGATTTTCATTGGATATAAATTGTGAAATGAACTGACAATTGTCGTTATCTGTATTTAAATATAGATCTGTCGAATGTTTTCGTTAATCAAAGGAGTTTTATTTATGTGTACGTGATATGTACAACACACCGATATGTGAAAAATGGATGACAATATTGATTTTCAAATCTCATGAAAATTCATTTGTTCCTGGATGTATGTTAGGATTATCGCTAGGATTTCGTAATTCGCTTCGTTCCCAGTCAGTATCACCTTTGAATTCGATTGTTGAAAAAGTATTCTTTTTTTTTTTTTGCTTACGTTATCCGTTCGTCCATTCGTGGTGATGATCGGTTGGTTGTTTATTTCCGAATGACTGTGATATTTGGATAGATCAATGATTCTTGTACGCATTAACCTTGCTCTTTTCCAGTATGGTTAGGCTTTCCACTTCACGATTACCCGAGTAACTGTACGATGCTTTATCGTGATATCATTTTAAGAAATTTTTTTTATATGCACCACATCTGTTTATAATCATTTTTGGTGTTAATGAAAATAAAATAAATAAATTAGTAAATAAGTTAATGATATACAGTACCTACTTTTTATTCAAACAAACAATTGCGACCTATTGTATGTCTGGTATATGAACGGAACGGTGATTTTAATGGAGAAAATCTTTCGTTTACAGTATATCAAAGACTACAATTTGAAAAATACAAATTGATCCAGCAGATGTTCTTCTGTCCACCAGACTACAACAGCATACGTGTTGGAAATTTGGGCGTCTAATGTGATAAATTCAATTGCATCCAGCAAACATAACTTACCTGGTTTTCGGCGTACATATTTTTGCATGAAGGATGAACACAGTAATGGTCCCTCAAGAAAAGCTAATAAAGTCTTATTTGTGCCATTGTTCATTGGGAGTTGTCATTTGAAAGAATTCCATGATAAAGAATGTATATTTTGCGTGGCACAATTGTTACACTCAGTCATTCCATAATACAGTACTTGACTGTTTGTGGATGACTTCCGGTAATTACTAGTTTTTGTTTCATTGAACCTTTTCTGTGTAAGTGGGTACGAATGTTACATAGAAAATAAGGGCACGTAGAAAAAAAAAATAGAAAACCAATATATATGTATTTTTTTTTTCGAGTTTTTTGATTTGATAATCTGTGTGTTCTTTATTTCTTCATGTTCTTTTACATAAGCTGAACATTTTTTTGACGGATTGGTTCACACCACTATGAATATAACGTAATACTTGCATGCCCATCCAGTTTGGTATTAATTAATTGAATTTTCACCAGTGTTCGTTCGGGTCCTATCATTTGACATTGGATTTTTTCAATTAAATTTCATGAGTTCGCGTTGTGATTCACCTTGGCGGATTTGTGTACTCCGGAAGATTGAGAATGAGAACACATTGCTCTTTTTCTCTTGAACCGAATAAAAAAATAAATGACTGGACAACCAATAAATTCATGTGTCGGTGTTGGACCGCATTCTGGATTCCGGTTTGGTTTGCTCAACTCTTTGCAATATTCTTGGGACAGAAAATTTCATTAGTACTTTCTGGAGTAACAATCAGTATTCCGGTTTGGCTGAATCAAATATGCTTGCATAATTCTGTAGTTAATATAATTTGACTTTCAATATGGCATTCATACAGTATAACCTGTTTTAATGTTGACAATTTTATTAGGTAACGTTTAATTGTTGCTCGATTAGAGTTGTGACTTAACAAACATATAATTACCTCATTATGACGATTTTTGTACAAAGCGTCTATCGAGTGGGGCAAACGCATATTCACATTTGCATGGAAATTCACCACGATTCCGCGTCGTTTTCTGCCAGAACGTAAATCAAAAAATCCCTTATTACAATATTGTAATTCTCTCTTTCTGTCGATCTCTTCCTCTTTTAAAAGGTGGCGTAAAACGTTTGCCATGTCCATTTGTTATTTGTTCACGGGCTTCGTGATGCAACAATTCAATAATGGCAACAACAACTTAAAAATTTTCCACATTTATTACAAAAAAAGAAAATGATTCTTTTTGTGTCAAAAAGAATAACACAGATCACGAAAGTAGATGTACGTAAATAAAATTTCAAATTGAATCGTTTTAAATCACGCGAGTCACTTATTTGTCACGTAATGTATCCGAACATAATATTATTTTAAAAATACGAGTGATAATTTTTTTTTTTTTTTTTTGCGTACCAAATTGTCTTCACATTATTATACTAATTTCGAAATTTGATAAGTCAACCAAATCTAGATCAGATACCTTTTTTTTTTTGTACACCTATATAAGAACGAGCTTTTTTGTCTTCCTTTAGTACCGTGGGTTTTACATCTTAAAAACGACTCTCCTTTTTCATTACAATTGTTTCCCTGTCTCCCTCACCACCACCATAATTTATCCCTCCTCTGCGCTGCCTGCGAAAAATAATTCAACCAAAAACCCTTGTTAAACTTTAACTTCACACATTTGCAGGCTTACATCGCATCTATTCGTTTCTGGGCTTCCTTCGATGAGTTTCAGAAATAAAATTACCCCTATCCTACCGTATTAAGATATTTGAACGTTCTAATCGATGAAAAGGTCTGATAATTCGCCATTGACACTTCGGCAGAACTCACTATCCTCGGTCCACGGTCTGAAGTCTGCTGCGTCGTATTTCGAATGCTCTACGTATAAAAAGATATTTATACATACACGCGAATAATCAGCACGAACCAAATGCACGCACGTACATATGATCATAACCACATTTTAAGCAGAAAATGGAATTGTTTTTTGTCAAAAACAACTGTGAATTCGGTTCTCCACTTTTTTCATCGCCTCGTGACGTATTTTCATAACGCAAGACCGGTTTCTTGATGACAAATTCATATTTTGTCCTTTTCTAGGTACAATCTTGAGTTTGGTTATGAAATGTAAATAACCTTCTTCCAAAATGTAAATATCTTCATACATGTACATAGTTCAAATCATGTAAATACTACATTGCTTCAAGGTTGTATGCATGCACTTCATCCTCGGTCCCTTTTCAGCCTGACCACACTTTACAAACTGAAAAACGTCGCGTTTCGAATTTTCTTTTATTTTTTCACGAATTTAAACGATATATGTATATCTATGATTTTTATAAGATTTTTTTAAATTGTACTGACGAATAATGTTGAATCGACGATTTTTATTAAAAGATGTGTGCTCTGTGCACTTTTTGCGTATTTCACGTGATCCATATAATCTCAAATGTCTGTTTATCTGAAGATTTTGCTCTCTCTTCAAAAAAATGTTTAACCGATTCTTATCTGTTTATCTCGCGCACGGATTCGACGAAGGGTCAATCACCCACGGTCAAAAAACTCAAAAAGCATTTTAGTATAATCCAAGGTAAAAGGTTGTTGGCACGATTAAAGCCTTACCTTATTCGGCGATATAATCCAGGGTTTCGGATATTGTTACGCAAACACATCAATGTCGGATTGATTAGTTAATATACTGTAGATGGTTCACAATGACTGGAATTTGATCCGGTCTAGTGGATGGAAAATTCAAGTCTCTGGTGGTACATTTTTAATATGGAATCGACTTATGACTATTATATGTGCATTTTAAAATGACAATAACTCTTCTATCCCACTACTTATTCTTATCTCTGTGTGAACTATCTACGTTTTATTTTTATGCCAGTCAACCACCGTCGCACTGTGAGACGACATTAACTTCTCGCACCAACTACCGTTTGGGTCATCCCTGATGCCGTGTATACTTTAGGTGTTTTAGTACATATGGCAATCCCATGACCCTTTTTGAATGTCTAAGGAAGAATCATCGTGATCTGGTATTTTTTTTCATGAAGAAATTCTCACCCATTAATTAAAGTGCACGTATCCTAATGTATAAATCCAGTATATTCAAAGTGTTTCGGATTAGAAAAATTTAACCTGAATCAACATTCCCCTTTCAAGATACACTTATCCTCTTTAGTTCACATACCTTTGACAAAATGATTCTATTGTGTGATCGATGGAAAAAAAGGCAACCTTTTTTTTTTTTTAGAAAACATTAATGTAGATTATCTGTTTTTTTTAAGGGGTTCGTCAAAATTTGTGTACCACGGTTTGCCTTGTGTGAACAATAGCCGATTGATAATGGCAAACAGGATCTGTACGCATATGTGGCTTCTGTAAAGAGCATATAGTGACAAGAATTCTTTTTCAAACCTTGATCAAATGTCTAACCGATTGAGAGAGATTCGGGTGACATGTGGAGGATATCCGTTTTCATAAACATCCGGAGAAAAGAAACGATATTTTTCCGGAATATTTACTCGTGCAGGTAAAGAGCATTATTATATAATAAAAATTAAATGGGACCTGACCCGTTTAACAAAATGATTCCAAATCTATACATATTGATAAAATCAAGAAATAAACTGTACATTATAATAGACTAGCTGCAAACAATTCTTTTTTCTACTTATCACTTATTTATTAATTTTTATTTTATTTTATTTTTCCACTCATTCCACTTACTTGTTTTATGCAATTCTCCTATTAATTATTTTATTTTATTTTAGTCAACTATTCTATTCTGTTATTTATCCCAAATAATCACAAATATCATGCTCGTTTAATAAATAAATAATCAAATATCACGTCGGCACATACCCACTACTCTATATCGAATTTTTGTTTATTTATCTCTTTTCTTACTTACTTTCTTTCTAGTTCCTTTATTGTAAACTATCATCAACATTTGAACCTTATTTTTCCGATACCCTTCATGTATAATAAATGTCGTATTGTCCTTCGTATTGAAAAAATCATTGACCTTTCCTTTAATGAGAGATATCCGAAACGTGCAAATACAGTGATACCCATAATTTTTGGAAAATTTTTTTTTAAAAAAAAATTTAATATTGTATTGTTAGTAGAAAAATGGTTGGATTGGCACGAGTCACGTGATGGGCCGCGATGCATCAGATTAGTCTGTGGATATAAATAGGAGTAAGATTGAATAGTTAGGAAATGAAGAATATTGTAATTGATATCCATTTGTACTTGCATCTAATATTTAATAAACTTACCTTATTTGAGTTTACTATTCCAAGAGAATCTAGTGGAACCGTACAAGAGACCTACAGTACAAAGATTAGGGAATCGGGCAAATAAAGGAAGGAAGTTTGTTAGCAAGTGTTTTTGGTATTGCTAGCAAAAGAGATCCCACTTACTGTCATAAGGCGGGACAGAAACGGAACCGTCAATTGTGAATAAGGATTAATACTATTTAATCAATTATTGTTAACTAATAATAAATTTATATAACTATAATATACAGTATTTTAAAAAGTATAAAAAAATACTCTTTCTCGCATATATTTTTTTATAATAAATTATTTTTTAAAAAGTTTCCAAAAAGCTTTAACTAATAAAATATATTCTTGAAAAAATATATAAACAAAAAAACAGCTTAAAAAACAATAATATTTTAACAATATTACAATCTAAAAAGATTTAATACTTGCAAAAATATTAATTAACATTTTAAGAAAACAAAAATAAATAATAAATCTTTTTTAAAACAAGATTGTTTTCTTGTACTTTAAACAAATATACTATATATCAAATATAATCTAATTAATATGTAATTTAAAAATTTACTTCAAAAGATAATATTTTATTTTTTTAGAGTTTTTATTAATAATTTTCTTTAAACTTCATATATGAATTCAAAATTTCAAAATTAATTTATTTTATTAAATATTTATTATATATACAAAATATTTATTACATATATCACAACAATAAAATTAAAATAAT